ATGTCGTTTGTATTGGGCGTTTTTTTATTTTCCATGTTAGCTACGCCGTAATATGCAACCACTTCCCCGTTTTATTGTGATTTTGAGTGTTTAATGATGTCTTCCTCACCCGTCACGCCATGACCCAGTTTCAACCACACGGCCATTTTGCAACACAGTTCGTGACCCTCGGCGTCACCCGACTGACTATATGAGCGTTCTGTTCAACTGTTAAGCTAGGATTTATTACCGTTATTATCATTATATTGTCACGTGATTTGTTTTACCTTATGTGTAATGTCTTAAGTATCTTTATTGTAATTTGTATATACCAATTCGTATATACCGAGGAAACGACCCCGATTGAAGGTCATGTATTTTATGACGTCACCAATTCGTGTGTAGGTACTGCTTCTAGATCTGTGCCATTTATACTATATTACAATTAGGAATAACATCAGTCGGAAAGAACACATGAACTACAAACTATCTAGGTATATTTATAGCTCCATGCACAAACTAAACAAACAAGCAAATATGAAAACACATTGTTTGGGATAGGATAGGATAGGGTAGGGTGTTTTATTATGGTATTTTTAGTAGTGAAATGATATGGTATACTCACGTTCTCCTACTAATAGTATCCTTACGTCTCGCCGCATATTCTTGATGTTAATGTTACCACATGGAATTGATAAAATGCCACCAAACTGAGTCAATTCGTCCACAAACTGATCATACAATAAACAGTTTTGTGGAAAGTCTTCGTCTGCACGCAATCCACAAAAGTTCAGACTGGTTCTGATATTGAAGCGACAGCTCTCGTCACATCGTGTTTTTCGGTTTTTATGTATCAGAAATGTCTAAATATTCACTCGTTCTAGCAAAAGTATTATCCCAACAGTGATGTGGACAAGATCGAACATAAATCGGATAAGCCTATAAATAAATATGATAGATTTTGTATACACGACTGACTTTATAAAAATTAGACTTCCGACATGTTTACCGCCTGGCTAAATGCGCATGCTCGGCGACCTATCAACCTTTTTCATAACCTTTGACAATTCGGCTGCATTTACTAGTAAAGTTTACTTTGTGACTGCAAATCAATTTGTATCATTGATATGCTTTTGATTAACATGCCGTTAACACGCAGATAAACAATCAATTTTGATAAAAAGACTTTCGATTCCGTAACTTGGGAAAGAAATAACTATGCAAATTTTAATGCCGCGGTGTTTACGTGCGAATTAGCGCATCCGAACATTTGTAATCTCACCTGACCCAGACATTATACCACGGCCACGGACCTTTGAACATATGTCATCTCCCATACTACTCGTACACGTTTCGGTCGTTCCAGAAAATCACCCACATTTGACACGTACAGGGTCAACATTTAAACGCATTGTCCTCGTGCCCCATCTCTATCACTTGCGGAGTTGCCAATAAAACATAATATCAGTCAAAAAAGTCTCGATACAGCCGATACGACGTTGGCGGATTACCGAACGATGATAGTCTAGTACATTGCGTAGTTTGCTTGATAGCTTCTTTTACCCGTTCTTTTATGTGTCTGCCCAATTAATTGCTAAACAGTGGAAACTATGGGATTGTTTTTTGTAGCTTTCAAGTTGTCGCGGGAGATGTCCAGAAAAAAAAAACATTATAACAATGGTTAAAAAAATAACAGAAGTTGAAGTTAATTGTTTTCGAAAATATGATCTGTAAAAAAGTGTACAGTTCATTCTATATTATTGGTTTTATTTGTATATTAAAACTAATCTGTTAAAATGTGATATTAATAAATGTTTACATCTTGTAAAGCTTACTCTTCTGAAAGAAAAAACTCTTTACGGTGACTTTAACAAAATATTTACTAATTTACATGAGATGGACAAAACAGAAAAATTCAAGACAATCATTAACGTGTCAGATAAACATTTACTGAAAACACTAATCCAATACATTAATAATACAAACTTGAAAAGAAGCATTTAGTAACTTTCTTTATTTTTGATTTTTATTATAATTAAAGGGCGATAGTCGTCGCGCCGCGTCCTGTCGATATGGGACTCATAGCGACGTATACAACGCGTGTAAAATACATTGTTTATTTACATGAAATTCGAACACGCGCTGTTTGACGACTACCGCCCTTTGATTTGTGTTCATGTTTATTAATTTAACTTTATTACTCAGAGCCCAAAAAGATTGTAATTTCTTTACGGTGATAATAAAGTGTTATTGTATTGTTGTGACAACAAAAAGGATTGCCTTAACATCATGGGCAAGGAGAAATAGTTATTTAAAAAAATCTGCAGTACAACTATCTCTGAATACACAACTACCTTCCGGGAACACGTGTCATTGTTTCAGAGCCTTATCTTACTTCAATATTTCTTCTCTGACTCTTGTTGTATTAATATTTCACGTCACTTATTCTCTGAAGATGATAAAGTTATTAGATTGTTAAACAATCACATACAACACTGACCATAAAACGACAGAGACAGTGACAGTGACAGTGACCGGTCGAACGACAGTTTTTTACATTTGAAAATCTCTCATATACATAATATAATATACCATAACATAACATAAAGTAGAATCTGAATATAATATTTTCACCGCGAAGTCAGTCGATAATCTTTCTGTTTTAGGTTATATGATAATTGTTTTTATAGGGATAAATATTACAATATATTTTCTTGTTGATATTTTTACATAGTTGTTAGTTCCATTATTGAATTTACTTTCGATATGTTCGTATAAACTCTGTGTTGTATTATCTGCACTTTATGGCAGCGATGACAAAAGATATGTCTAAAATGACGTGAATAAAGGTGCCGTTTTGAGATGGGCACCTGTGAGATAATATTCAGTCTTTATGTTGAACTGGTAGTTGACCCCGTGTCCTGCCCCGTGTGCACCCAATAAAGTATAGTAAGATTAAATGTGACCCTTTATCTACCGGTATAATGTAATCTTGACATGATAATTGATTGAATTATGCGTAGTTATTGATATGAACATGTTAATCTCCCAGATAATGCTATCCCCAAAATAGAAAAGGGGGATAATCGATCTGACATGGAATCAAGCAATGTCAAAAAAGAAAGAGACGCTGAAGAGGCTATACCTCAGGAAACTGAGATTACACGAAGAACGCTGCTTTAAATAGCGCCCTCAACCAGAAACGTCTAAGTGTGAAGGCAAACGTTGTTGATCATCAATTAATTGTAGTTCACTGACCTTGTGACAAGACATTATCCACATTCTCTGCTACTACAGCATTTGTAACATAATTTAATTAACGGTTTCATTGAATTGAAACAATTTTGAGGCAACCAGAACTGTGTGCACGAGGATAAACTTTTATTTTATTTATTTATTTAATCACCTGACATCCATTGGAATGGATGTTAATGGCCTGTGACATTCAATAAACGAGATTTACCCAATACCCAGCAGTAACAGTAAATCCAAGAGAAGACGTGCTAATAAGACACGTTGGTGAATACTTATACAAAATATTTGAAATCAGAAATAATAATAAATGACATTTTACTTTTACTTTAGTTTTATATGTATTGTACTTTATCACTAACATTTTATTGCTGTCGACCAGTGAAAACTATTTCTAAGGATGCAATAAATTCATTATTATATTATGTATTGATAATAATAATAATAATAATAATAATCTGTATTGCATTCTTAGAAATACAATCTTTCTATCAGTCTACAGCAATAAAGTAATAAAAGAAAGTTTAGTTAGTTAATAATAAGATAAAAGTAATAATTGCCTAGCCCTTCCAGGCTGCACACAGACGCCAGGACTTCGCGAACAACTTTTGCCTCATTGATGAATTATGTATAGTAAAATTAGTTAAGTCACGTTCAGTGCAAAGCGTGATATATGGTGAAAGTGGAAAACATAAAATTATGTTTCGTTTGTCGTGTACGATATGGGTCCCGTGCGACAAATGCCATGCGAGTAAAATACATTGTTTGGTTTCACGAAAGGAACGCTCGTTGTACGACGACTATCACATTTAAAGGCGTTCATATACACGACAATTAGCATTTATCGTTAATTAAAAAATATTGTTTTTGCATGCGCCTTGAATGCATAGTACGTACCGGTAAGCCATTGTATATGCGTATTTGCATGAGTAACCAAATAACAGGACCTTTGATTGACAATATGCAAATCGAGATTGTACGGGTCATAGTTCATTCAATTCACGTGCATGTGCAATTATTCTCAAATCAGTTCTCGCTCGCTAGCAAACCAAACATTATATTTCCTCAGCGTTTTTTCTTAATTTTTATCATTACATTATGCGTGGTGTGAAAAGAAAGAGGGGTAGAAAGAAGATTCAGATGATTTCTATGTCGGAAGATGCAAAAGCTACACTGAAGGCATCAGCCCACCGAACGAAAAACAAATCGATATGAGCGTCCAAACATGACTTTCCCTGAAGGCATGAATCCGAGTTTCTGATTGACTG